AGGGTCGTTTACACCAAACAAATTTTGAATATATATATATATATATATATATATATATAAGAGGTGTCTCATTAGTCACAAGTCGTACGTTATAAGGATCTTTCTAGTGGAAATATTTGATAGTTTGAAAAGCAGGAGTCTCCAGATAGTGACAAAACTTTTCTTCAATTACAAAATGAATAGAACAAATCAATGATTAAAAAATGAAATTAAATCAACCGATCGAACCGATCAAACTGTGGACTGGTCAGACTAACAGCTTGTTTGAGTCAGAAAAATTATTTAAAAAGTTAGGCTGTATTTTACCACTTTAAATAGACAGTTGAACTAAAAACTGAAATTAAATCGGAAATCGAATCTGATTTTTAAAAACTGAATTGTTTAAAAAAATGCTCATTTTATCATTTTTTTAAAAAAATGATCATTTTTTTAATTATTTGATATTATGTTATATTAAGTGGCTTATTAAGTTATGATAAACTTAAAATTATTTAGTTTTATTTTTAAGTTAAATAGTAATTTCATATTCATTTCTTATATTTAAATTATCATATACATATGTAATTTTTTTTATTTAATTGTTTGGTTTAACCATTGATGTAACCCAATTGGATCCTGCGAATCATGAACCGTTAACTTTTTTGATTCAATATCCTGTTCGGTTTTAAAAATATTGAGACAAATGCTTCAATCTTGTTCAACTTTATACGATTGACTCGTGGAGTTTATTTTTTAGATTTTAATTTCATGAAATTAGCTTAAAAATTTTATTTGAATTTTCTTAATATCAATCTGATTAAAAATTAAAGAAAAAAAGTTAAACATGTGCTTGAACTTGGAATTTAAGTATTTCTTAATAAATATTTTTCTGGACGTACGGGTCCAAGATTCAGCTCCACTTTCTTGGCTTATTGTCGGCTTTTTGTTCAGGACTTGAAGTTCTCTCACCAATTTTATGGGCTGATTGATTTAGGGAGGGCCCAAGGATTTGTGACTTTGTGTGCTCATGACTTTGAGAATCTCTGGTTTTGATTTATGATTAATTCCCCCCCCCCCAAGAAAACAAAGTTCTTGAATTCAAGCCCTATATATGTATAAAATTTTTACTGAAAAACTCACCCATCATGACTAAATATGCAACCTGAGTTGAATTTGAATTAATTAGGGTGAAGCTCTGAATATCGAATAGACAACCAAACCCCCCTCCCAAAATAAAATGGAGGCGTTAGCTCAAAATTTTTGTTTAAATTAATAAGATTGAGGTTCATGTTTACCCTTTTATTATTTTTGTAGGAGTACATAATATCTTAAACTTTTTATTGTAATAATATCACTTTTGAATTAATTAAATCTTAATAATATTATCTTTGACATTAAATTTGAGTCCACAAAAGTAATGATCTAATGTTTGGTTATTGAAATAGAAAATATGTTGTGTAACTAAATATATGCATATAGAATAAGCAATACCTTAATATATGTTACAAGAGATAACAATTGTATATGACATCCATAAATGATCACAACATTTATCTATTATTTTGGGAGAATGGCAGTGAGAAGCCCCATAAGATAAAAAACCAATGAGGGCCCAATATATTTAAATGTTTATCTATGTGTAATTAAAGGTTTATCAATTCACTTATAGATAAATGAAATCTCAGTTGTATAAGACTGAAGCCGTCAATTAGGGTTGAGCCTGTAGGGCTGGCCTTTTTAAGCTCGAAAAAATTTAGAGTTGAGCCACTACTTTGATATTGAAAAAGGTAAATTTGGACCCTTTTAAGCCCTAATATATTTTTTTTGAAAAAAAAACATAAAAAAATAAAAAAAAGACATCATATCACTCAAGCTCAGCAGTAGCACTCACTCTCTAGTCCAAATAATAGACACGCACATTATTATTTGCTTGCTTTAAATATTTTACATTCTTTAAATACCTTGAAATTATGATTTTGATTTGTTATTTATTGCAAATAATGAAAATGAAGAAGGAAAATATGAAAAGCTTAACATATTTTACATTGATGAGGATCCACGAGGAGAAGGATCAAATTATATTGATGTTGATAATGATGAAAATCATCAAAATTTAACTGATGATGCTACCATTATGTAATTGATGTTAGAGTTGATTTTGGGATGTTATTTTTTTATTAGACTTAAAATTTTTATTATGTGAATTGATTTTATTTTATTTTTTTAGACTTAATGTGATATGTAATATGTAATATATTGTTGGGATTTTAATTTTTTTTGTTTTTAAATTTAAAAATTAAAAAAATAATTAGGGTCGAGGCCCTGAGGGCCTGTCCTTCAACCTTGAGGGCCAGGGTCGGACTACTAAAAATAGAGTCCTAAAGTATAATCGAGCTTAAAAGGACCAGCCTGTTTAAGCCCTGGCCCTCGAAGAACCGGCGCTAATTGACACCTCTATACAAGGCCCTCACCATTTTTTTTCCCTCTAAATGCGTTCTCTGCTATCTCCTTATTATTTCTTTCCGCCTCTCCTTGTTGAATAGGTCATTTTAATCAGTATTGTTCTACCCAACAAAATATCATTTATTTCTAGTCCGATCATTATTCACAACGATTGAACCATTGATTCGCATATACCTTGATGGGTTAATGAGCAATCCTATTTTCTTAACATTGATAACTATATTATACCTCCTCATATTTTCTCCCAGAATAAAATTACTTAGCCATCGCTTTCTCCAATGAATGATATGTCGTAAGGCTGGTGATTAGGGTACAAATTAAATATGCAAAAAATTAAAAAAAACCATAAGAAACAATTTGTTAATTTTGGAATAATATTGGACTTACTTTATGTATGGAAATTAAATATTCTTCGTCCCGCCGCATTTCAGCAAACTGGTTCAAGAAGCAGGTGCTGTCTCTGTCATGAAATTGTGGAAGGATCAATTTGACACAGGCTGGTTAGAATCGGATCCAGATATGGTCTAGATCCTTGTTCACATGAAGTGATGACTTATAAATTAATACTTACTCTAACAGTTAGGGTCTGTTTGGATTTCAGTTGGGTATAATAGATTATGAAAATAATTGATTAAGTGGTAGATTTTAATCATAATTGATTATGTTATAACGTAATCTGTTTGGATACTGTTTTTTTAAAAATTAATTTTAACAGAATTGAAGATATTGGATAATTTAATCAAAATTAATTTCTAAATATATAATTTAATTTTTAAATATCAAATATTAATTTTTTAAATATAAAAGTTTAAATTTTATTAAGGAAAAAAAAAGAAAAAGAAGAGAGTTTAATTTTATTTTTATTAAATTATGTGTTTTCTTTGTAATTTTTTCCTGGGCCTGTTTTTGTAATTTTCCCCAACGTTTTTGACAAACTTTTGGCAGAAAGCGGACGAAGGGAGCTTCGGGAAAAACGCGCGTTTTGGCCCAGAATCGATTTTTAATCATTTTCGACTGTTTGGATAGATTGACAAAAAAAATTGATTTTGGGTCCAAAACGCGCGTTTTTTCCTTATCCAAACGGGCACTTAGTCTTATTTATAACTCATTTTTAGTTATAGAAAGAACTAATTTTCTTAATATTATCAATCATAAATCATTTTTAAGTTATAATTAGAGTTCTTGTTATTCAGAAAAGATTTTTATTTAGTTTTATTTCAATTTATTCTTATTCTCCTACCTCTAAATTTGATATTTTAATTGCTATTATTAATTAAAGTAGCTTTATTGTATGATTTTTGGATTGCATGTTTCATCTAAAGTTTTGCCTGCAATAATTGATTGATATAATATCATAAGAGCAATTTGGCCTGGCTTAAATGATTATTCATACTTTATTTCTGGTGTGGGTAATATATAAACAATTGTTAGATTGTGGATTAAAGAAAATTTTAATTAATCCATAACTTAATTTCTTATTTAATCATCGAATGATAATTTGAGAAAATATATAATAAAATCAGAATCATAAAATTAAATAAATTAAATTTATTTTGTAGATGAGGAGGATTAAGTCTAAGTGATTGGGTTGTAATTAATGTGATGCTTATGCTTGGTATTTTTTCAATTAAACTTGCTTTAATTATTCAGTTTTTAATTTATTTTTTAATTAATTTTGTCATAAAAAATCCTCCTACTATTTAGCCTTTCATAATCTTAATTCAAATAATTAATTCATTGACTTTTAGAGAGATGACTTAGGTTGTATTTTATTGTAAAATTTAATTTTTATTAATTTTAATGCTATTCGACATTAGTGTCAACCGAACTGCCATCGTTGACTAGGAACGAATTGTTAATGCCAAATGTGACCGAACCTCCACCAATGGGACCGATCACCGATAGCAACTAAGACTCATCCCACCTGTTATCCAGGACTTGACTGTCAATGTTGACCAAGATCGGACTGCCACCAGCATCAATAAGGATCGGATCGCCAACATTGACTTGTCCCAATAAGCAGTGGCGGTCCATTCTTGGTCAATATATTGTAATTTTAGAATTGTTTGGCATTGATTTGAAATAAAGTCATATTTGTAGTCCAATAATAAAATTCTCCCTTATTAATACTTTTAAATCCCACACAACCTAGATATTAAATAACATGAGATTTATTAACAACATAGGAAAATAACAATTAAGTTAGCGCACCCCGGATCTCAATATATAATAATATTCATGGTAAATAATTGCTTGTATAATTTTTTAAAGTAAGATATATGTGTCATGAACACAAATCTAAAGAAAAAGCTTTTCATAAAAATTAACCCGCATAAATGTGAAATTCACTTGAATTTATAAACCTTATAATTATTCCAAGCTCCCCAGTTTGAAACTCATAACATCTTGAGTCTCAACAAGTTAAGGTTTTAGAACGAATTCTTTTTTTAGAACTATGCTCCTAATAATATATTCACTTGAATACATAGATGTGTATATGTATTTTGTGATGTCTATAATCATTGTAAAAATTTAAAATCTTATCACTAAAGTTGATCAACGGCAAAACAGAGAAAGGAACATTTAAATAGACTTTATTCTCCAAAAAATATGAAATTATATAATTATAAAACAATATTATATTAACTGAACTCAGATGCACACATAATATAGCGCAGACAAATTAAGGGTAATATGTGATAGGAATCAAGCAAAGATCGTTTTTTCTCCTCACTGTAGGGCCAGAATTCTCAGTCATGTCCGATTTTTCATGCTCTAATCCATCAGGAAGCTTCCAATCAAAGTGGTAAAGCAAATTGCAGAGCGTGATTTCCACAAGAACTGTAGCAAATGAGACTCCAAGACATATCCTCCTTCCAGGACCAAATGACAAGTACTCAAACTCTGTGCCTTTAAAGTTGTAATCAACTGAGGCATTCAAGAACCTTTCTGGTTCAAACCTTTTGGCTTCATGCCCGTACTTTGGATCTCTTCCAATTGCCCAACCATTGGTGATGACCCTAGTCTTAGGTGGCAATTCATAACCATTAATTTCACAGCCTTCGCTGTTTTCTCTTGGAAGTAAAAGTGGCAAAGGAGGGTGTAGCCTCAGAGTTTCTTTTATGACTGCAGATGCATGTTTCAAGTGACGAAATTCTGATTCATCTGCATAGCCTTTGCTTCCGAAAAGCCTTCTTACCTCTTCTTGTGCCTTTTTCATTTTGTTGGCATTTCTAAGAAGTTCTAACATTGACCACTCTACTGTTGATGCTGATGTTTCAGTTCCACCAAGGAAAACATCCTGGAAACAACCAATGTTTTGAATCAGAACACACAGATATATGTGTATGTGTAAAGAAATTAAATGAGAAAATAGTACACTCACCACTATAATAGCTTTAATGTTCCTATCAGTCAAAGGGATTTCAAGGTTATTTTCCTTTTGAATCCTCAGGAAAACATCAACCAGATCCTCTGTGTTACCAATATGACCACTGCGATTCTTCATTTCTCCATGATCGTTGATGATATTCCCTACGATCAGATCAAGCTCCTTGTTCACTCCATCAATCTTAGCCTTTATGCCAGTGATCACTTGAACGAATTTCAGCGAAGGGAAGAGATCAGCAACTGAGAAACCACTTGCCAACTCTAAGGTACGCTTCATCAATGACAGGATCTGTTCAACGTTCTTGGTCTTGGCACCAAAGGCTGCTTGTGCAGTGACAAAATTCGTGAGCTCGTAAAGCTTCTCACTGAGATTGATGACGGAGCCTTCATGTTCAAATATATCCTTCACAAGTGCTGACACCTACTCTTCTTTAATTGTTCTGAATGTTTGGACCCTCTTGGCAGACAAAAGCTCCAAAGTTCAAATCTTTCGAAGTTGCCTCCAATAGTTTCCATAAGGAGAAAAGGCTATGTCTGTGTTACTGGAAATGAGTGTGGTGGCAACAAGAGCAGGTCGATTAGCGAAGGTTGTGTCATGGGTCTTCAAGATCTCTCTGGCAATTTCTGCGGAAGAGACAACGACATGGGACAGCTCCCCAAGTTGAAGGTGAATGAAGGATCCATACTTGTTGGCTAAGTCTCTCATGGCATGATGAGGTAGTGATCCAACAAGTTGGTGTAAGTTTCCGACAATAGGTAATTTGGATGACCCTGGGGGTAGGGTTTCGATTGATTTCTTGGAGGTTAATGATCGTTTTAGTATTACAAGGAAGAAGAAAGAGATGGCGAAGAAGATAGCGTATGGGATGTGAATCTCCATTGATGGGCAAGGAAAGGGAGAACTGGGGATGCTCTGGGTTAGAAGATAAGGACCCCTTTTATAAATTAATAAGTTAAAAATGGTATTATGTTATATTATATATGAACCAAAATGTGGGGAAAGAGATTTGATGAGATAACACCTGTTGATTTCCTGATTATTCAATTCTAGCTTACTCTGGATGCAAATTCAACTCCGCACTTCAACAAACATTAAATCACGCAATCTCCATTAAGAAATCCTGATCACTGCTTAGCCGAGTTAATAAGCATTGGTTTGGGTGCTTGTTACAGTTGTGAATTGTGATAGAAAGGTATTTATATATCCGGACCATTTAGATTTAATCAGCAGTTTGAATTTACTTCCAAGCTTCTGCCCAACAATAGCACCCACTAACACACCGAAACAGTGAGAGCAACGACAATGCGAGGAAGGAAAAAAGTTTCGACACCCATGCTCAAAAATGGAGATCCACGGCAAGCACAGATCAAGGAAAGAAAAAGGAAATTCACCACAAAACAGGGGAAGAAAGGACTCACGATTTGCACCACAACGCTGTGGTTCTGGGCGGACGTCACAACAATGGCAAGTGGAGCTCCTGTTCTCATCAGCAGCGTGTTGAAGAGCAAAGGACAGAGGTGGCTGGATCGAGGATGAGGTAGAAAAGATCAGAAAGGAAACAAGGCAGCAGACCAAGGTGAAGATCCGATGACAACCACACCACAGAAGATGATCGGCGCTGACAGGAGGAAGGATGGCCGGTGACTAATGACGGTGGAAGGACAGTCGGTGACGAGGGAGAGAAACGCGGACTAACAATGAGGGGAAAGAAGAAAAACACAGACTAAATCAGGCTCTCTCTCTCACTCCTCCCATCTGTAGCTCACCGACAAACAAGGAGAAAAATAAATTGTAATAGTTGGTGGGAAAATTACAAATAAAGACGCCACGAGAATGATTACACGACACTGCCTTCACCAAAGTAATTTGTTTCGATTGCAACTTTTATTTGTCTAACTAGAATGGCTACAAGTACTTCTTCATAAGATAAAATTAGGTTTAATTTATTTGAATCCCTTGAATTTCAATAACATGAGAGGGATTAATATTTAATACTAAATGATTTATGTGGTAGCGCAAAAGATAGGCCACAGCACCAACTCTTCTTAAGTGTTCAAATGACATGAATTACCTCATGCTTAACTCACCTTCCTTCTCAAATCTTTTCACACTCTTCATGAAGACAACCTAAAAAATATTTTATTTCAGATACCAAAATCAAAATAAGCTTCTTCTTCTCCTTCTTTTTTTTTTGTTTGTTTGTCAATTTTGCATTGCATTGTTAACAGCCACTATTAAATAACTTTTATTCTCTTTCACAAGATTCACATCCTACAATTTACTTTCCGTTGAATTATCTTTGTCAAGGAAAAAAATCTTATAAATTGTTTGATCCAAAAATCTTTAATTCTAATAACCATAGGGGGTAGTTGTAAATTTTGAGTTCCTTCTCCCTGTGATATTCTTAAATGACATCTTCCAACATAACGTAACATAAAAAGTAATTTGATATACTTGAATTCACGTTTCAAAAACTTTGCCTAAAATACTGTTCTTTAAACTTTAATGGTGTCAAACATAAATAATGCTCATCATGTTATTCTGAACTCCTTTAAATGTACCAAACATTTCATCAATATTTTTTTTACTATAAATTTGTCAAGAAAATATTTAAACATCATATTCATTTAATTCATAAACATCATTCTTTCTCCTCCATCATCCCACCAAAAACTATTTCAACTCACTTATGAGACCTAAAATCTTATTAGTAACTAATATAATCAGTTAACAAATAATAAAGCTTAACCACTCTTCACCTAGTTTAGCATGTTATAAACAAATAATTGATCCTAAACTTGAAATAATCATAACTTAAGATAAGAACATCCAATTGAAGCAAATTATGACTCTTTGAAAAGATATATTCATGTATTATCTACTGCTAAAGTTTCAAAGTCATTGAAGTCCATTTAATTCAAGGAAATATCAAACATCAGATCTAATACAAAATATACAAAACTGTCTTATAACAGCTTTTGGATTAAATTCAAAAATTCATAAAATAATCTCTAGAACTCAAAAATTAATATATTTGGGAGAATGAAACTTTGATATGTCCCATAAATAGCCAAATTTAAACTCAAACTTCAACCTTTAAGACATTCAACTGTAGTCATATTTACTACTCATTTGGTTTGTTTTGAAAGCTCAATTGCTTGAACTTGTACTCTTTTGAAATCCTTCATCTTAAACATCTTTTTTAATCACTTATATAACATGTAAATCTAATTCGATACTTAAGTTTGGCCTATGATCCAAAGTGATTGCTTGACTTGCATTGACACAACTTAAGTCATACATAACTCCAATCAAACCATATGAACTCCAATGTTCCACTTTAAATCATAATTCAAGTCTCTCATCACTCAAGTTCAAATTCGTATTCTCATATCATACATGATCTGTTTGATTCTTAATAGATTTATTTAAACCATTACCATGAGCCAAGAGCCTAAGTTTCTACACTTTATTCACCACAATTTGTTTTTGGCCTAAAATTTGATGTTTCAAAATATAAATCTTTCATCCACATGATAGCTTATTTAATCATCATAATTCTTAATCGCACCTCTTTTATTGTAATTTCATTAATAAACCTTTTAGGCACTTATGAAAAGTCATCAAATCCTTCACCTTCTATCTAGGGTGAAAGATTCAAACACTTGATCCATCAAAGACATTTCACTAACAAGACTTGCTATCATGATACTCAAGCATATAAGAACACTAATAATTAAAATCAAACGATGGATTGAGGATGAAGAAGGCGAGCAGATTTTTGATCCTGGTTAACAGGTCGAGACGAGGAGTTTGGCGTTTTTCCTTGATATGATTGTTTCAGTTTTCTGACTTTCGGGTTTTTCATGTTTTTTGTCGCTTGTGCCGTCTTGATTGAGGTACGTATCTCTTCAGTCTAATTCGATACTTAACTAATCTTTGTTGAAAAGCCTACTTTCATTGTAAACTTATTGTAAAGAAAAAATTACATTAAAGTTTTATAAAAAAAATTAATTATTATAAGATCTGTTAATAATTGATATAAGACAATTTAAAACAAAATGTGTTACAAATAGCCTTATGTAGTTAGTAGCAGACATTACAGTAATTAATTTTTTTATATAAATTTTAATATAATTCTCCCTTTCCAATAAGTCTACAATGAAAGTAGGCTTTTCAATAAAGATTAGTTAAATTAATAAGAATTTGATTTATAATATAAAATTCTGCTATCAATATAAATTAATCTAGATATTTAACTAGTAAATATTAAAATATTAATATTATAATTAAAAATTATTTTTTGATCAACCAAAGTCGGTCAGCCATCAATTAACAATGGTAGGTGGTCAATCAACACAGATCACCATCCGTCAAAATTGTACGAGTCTAACGGTATTTGTGTCATTTTATAATTAAGGAAATTTAATTATAACCAAAATCCATGAAACTTGAAAATATTTTCATAACTTTATGAAATTTATACGTAATGTGCTAAAAAGTATCTTAACTGGGACCTTTCATAGTATTTTCCCCCAAAACTTATGTATATTTCTAATTTTCAAGGATACAGTAGAATTTATTTTATATTGGGACATCTTTCATTAGTTACTGGGGAGACTGACAGTTAAACCCTAAAGAAATAAATTAATAATAGTTAAGTTTTTGATAAAATTTTCTACAAATATATTATAAATATCAATTCAAACGGGTATAAATAGAAATTTTTATCACAATATAAGAGTTATATTTGATACTAAAAATACTTATTTACAATTAAATTTTTGAATTTATAATAATTTGAATCGATATTTTTATATATATTTTTTAAAAAAAATTTGCTTAAGACTCAACTGTTATTAACTTAATATTTTAGAACCTAATTGCCATTCTCCCTTAGTTACTGGCTTTGGATCAAGGGTGGAACTAGCCTTAAGGTGGGGGGGCAATTTTTTTTTTAAATATGTACACACACATATATTGTTAATTTGATTTTTTACATTCTTTATAGTTAATTTTTAAAAAAATAAATTACAATCAATTTTAGAACTAATGATAATTATGTAAAGGGAAATATTTACATATTTAACCTTATATATAATATATTTTTTTCAATCAAATCAAAATAAGTGGATCTTAAAGTATTAATAATATTAACCATAAGCATTAGGTATAGAATAAATAACACTCCTTCATTAAAAAAATATAAGATATTTTAACTGAATCTCACCCTAATAAAATAGTTACTTCTCTTCAAACTAATCTTATCTTTTCATATTTACCTTTGTTTAATATATTGTTTCCCTAAGACAAATATAAAATGGTTTATTCAATAAATGCACTTTTACAAGAAAGGCAATGATTACCTTTTGAAAAATAAAAATGTCTCACATTTTTTTAATATACAAACCCTTAAAAAATGCCTTATTTTTTTAACAGATGGAATATAAAAAATTCACAAGTTTTAATTTTTTAAGTCATTTCTAATATATTTTATGAAAAATCTACTCTAAGGTCCAATGCAAGTAATCTAAATACAAAAGCTCACTGAATTATTATCATGAAGTGATAATTTTAAAAATAAAATATTTTAATGCAGCAATAGAATATGGTTTTATTCTTACTTAAAAATATTAATAAGGATACATATTGTACTATAATTAACTAACATGTTTATAGTCTTATTTATAAGTTACTTTCAATATATTTTATTGAAACAAAAAAATTTTTAAAATTCATTAATTCTATTTAAAAATTTAATAAATTTTACTTTATCCCTTTAAATGTGTATGCTTTAATAATGTATTTCTCTTACCATTATTTAATGAAGGTAAAATAAAAAACTTATGTTAAAAATTTAATGAGATGACTTATTAATTGGATTAAAAAAATTTCTCTTTACCTTATAAACTTTAGATATATTAGACCCATATAAATACAAATAAGAGGAAGGAAGATAGCCCCCCTTAGAGCTGGGAATTCGGGCAACAAGTCCGACTCTCTGAAAAGCTCGAATAGTAAAGTCTAATTAAAATTTTATTTTTAAAATTCTTTAATTAATTTTTACTTTAAAATTAATTATTTATTTTATAAAAATTATAAATATTTTTTATTTTTAAACGATATATGAGATTCAAATATATGATATTTTATATATTTTTTAAAAATTGAGTGACCAGGCTTAACTGGAATATAAATTTTTTTTAAAGTTCAATCCTAAATTTTTTAAGTTAATTTAAATTAATCTATCAAATTTTACTTAAATTATCAATTTAGCCCGCTCGCCATGCATGTGGGAACACCCGATGAGACATCCATGTAATATCTGCCCACATGGTGAGCCCCCAAAAAAAAAAAATCTATCTACATGGAAGAATGACTTTTAGGTTCTTGTAACTTAATTATTGAAACTTGGGTCTGTCAAAATAATAATTTTCTTTTTAAATTGACAGCTATAATATATTGTATTAACAACTCCTCTTTAAACAAATCAGGAACCTAAACGTTAATAGTATCGTCGGAAAGGACACAGATGTTTCCACATGAACAAGAATAGGTTGCGTCACTTGCACTAACCGTGTTTGAGTAATATTGGAGCTGGATGGTTGTGAATTCAAATAATTAAATTTAAAGTATATTTTTAATTTTTTAACATTATATAAAATTTTAATTTAGTCTTTTAATTTTATAAAGTATCTTTTTAGTTCTTTAACTATAACATCATTAGTTTAAATGTGTCAATCATTATTATTTTAAAAAAAAATTAAACTTAATATGTCAATATTTGAGAATATTTTGTCAATATTTGATATTTCAATGTAAAAATTTATTAGGATAAAACTAATAGTATTAGAATTAAAGGACAAAATATATATTTTATTCAATAATTAACATAGATTAGATATTTAAAATTCTAAAATATTTAATTTATAATGAAAAATTTGATCCAAATCCATAAAATTATATACATATATATACATATAACGGCTAAACCCAGATTCCTACTATTCCAAACATATCAGTAACGTATTTATTCACCTTAATTTGTCAATCTATTTTGGCCAAAAATAATAATAATTAGTCAATCTACGTCTGGGTTGCATATATTTTTCTAAGTGAAAAACTTAGTTTATTGTTTGGTCGAGTTTATTGTTTAGTCAAGGTCTATTTCCATAGGTGACCTTTTAATATTAATTCAAATCACTTATCTTCTTGATCGAATTGACTTTTGTTAATCGTACAGCTTATTGACTTCCATGGCATTAGATTCACTCAGTTATCTCAATCTTCATTTTGGTATGTTTGAATTAATAAAGGTTTGAATTTGATTAAATCTTTCATTTGAATATAAAAAAATATGAATTTAAATCCAATACATTTCCTTTTAATCAATCTCTCAAATTTTCTCTACTTTAGTCATTTAAAATTTCAGCCATATCAAAACTCTCGTTCTCTTCATATTTTTATTATTAATGTTTTTATGATTCTTATTTTTTTTTAACCAATGTTTTTATTTTTTTGAATATAAATTCATCTCCCTTATTCATTTAAAAATTTTAAACTGCTCAAACAAAAAATTTTAAATACATAAATTTTAAATGTGAGATTGAAAATGTAAGATTTTAAACATAAAATTCATATTCAAATCTATCAATGCAAATGCTACCTTAATGAAATTCATTTTCCGTGGCCAAAGAAATTCTTCCTCATATTTACCGTTAACTATATTATTATTTTACCTGAAGTTAACTATATAATTCGCGGTCATTTTTTTTTTGCCAACACATCATATAAATAATTTTAGGATATGCCTAAATCATCTTGATGCTGATTATTTTGCTGAAAATATTCCCTAATAAATTAAAAATATCACTGAAGATAAAGCGAGACTGAGTTAATTAATAATGACCTAAAAAAATTAAATTATAAATTAATAGTTAAATTATAAATTAGTAAGAAATCAAAAAAGAAAATGAGGTGAATGTCACGGACATGCCATCTTAGCATAGTCGGTCAATTAATGGTCAAATATTTGGATCTGTTAAAACTCGGCAATATTATTGCTTTGTTTTTAAAACATTGGAGGAATATTGTGCATTTAAAAACTTAAAGAGACCACTTGCGCCTACCTGTATATTTCTAGGCCAGATTTGCATGCTAATCCAATTTTTATAAAACATAAAATCTTTTCTCTATTTTTTTGAAAGGAAAACTTTATAAAATTCACGAATTTTCAACTGGGTTCATTTCAAGATTCAAAATATTCATCCATGAGTCATATTGAATCTCAACTAATTCATATCAAAATTGAAAGAAGAATTGTCTAATATTTTCTACATAATTAATATCAAATAAGAAATAAATTCCAACTATCTGAATACCAACTAATTAGCACGAAATGAGGATAATTAATACTAAGATTTTATGAATAATTGATTGAGATATAAATATGATTAAATTGATCACAACATATTAAGTTGACCACCCACTATATAATTCATTTTTCTCTCATCGTTTTTTATGTTAGTTGTCTGGGTTGAAATTATTAATTATTTATAACTTATTGTAGAATGTAATCGCACCAATCAGGGTACACACACAAATATAATTATGATTAAATCGTAATGGTTTAGGTCATATTTTATTTTTCTAAAAACATAATTATATATCAATTCTAGTTGGCATAGGTGACATGGACTCTTTTAATTTAAACAAGTAGTTAGGATCTCAAATATCAGCTGCTGTGTATGTGGCAATTTAATTTGAGAAGTTTATCAGTGTCCCCAGTTGGGTGCTAGAAAGGTCTTACCCATGTATAGATACGAAAATTTATTTGCTCGATTAATTGCATATATCTGCGCGCGCGCATATATAATTTGAGGTTGGAACGCGGGAAACAACAATATAATATAGATATATTTTGTGAAGGTAGTAGAACTAGTATTATTAAATATTAGAATTATTAATAGCATTATACATAATGATTTTTTTAAATAAAAAAGATTTTTGTGTGGGCATTTGAGCCGAGGAACCATAATTCAGACCCTTATGATCTACTCCCGAGCGGTGATCAATAACCGTATACCGTCAATTGCATGTTATCTAACTAATATTTAATGTTGAATTGATTTTCGGATGTTTCACGGTAATATTAATCAAGGTACTGCTAACAAAATTGATCACTAAATCAACTAAGACACTAGATCAAATGTTAATAATCAAAACCATAATCCAAGCATAATAAGGCTCAAGATATTAGTTCAACTGGATTGCTTAATCATATTTCAAAACGATGGGATCGCTGACAACGGCATCTTTGACACTGATGACCTCGTCCGACAAGTCACGTGCATGGATGACATCTTCTTTCTTGTAGGTGACGTACAACGATCTAGCCATTTTCCATATCACATCCTTCACTGGGCTCGGTATTATGCTTCCCTCTTTCTGCAAAACCATTCTCAACAGCTCTTTTCTGCTCTCTTCAATCTCTTCCTTCACCTCCTTCACCACTTCTTCTTCACTTCCTTATCACCCCCTCACTCTCACTGCTATCGCGTTCAGTTTTCCTTGCTCCATTTCCCTCTGCATAACAACACACAAAACCCTAATTAATATCCTAAAGTGGGATATATAATTGATCAAGTCGAATTAACAAAATATAACTGACCTTGTAGCCGTTGATATCGTTGAGCAGTCGTCCATAAATGCTAACCACGTCAAATAAGCGATTGTATTCGTCACTTTCAATGCTTTCCTGTGGAAGCTCAGGTCCTACCAGATACAGACCTGGGAGGAGAATTGGTCCCAAGGCGAATGATATTAGTGCCACCGGCACATATTCCTCATAGCTTGGCACGTAATTGTTTCTCCTCCACTGAGCTTCCTGTAGGAAAGATCGCAGACAGTCCACCCACTGCGAATCAACTTAATTATTACTTGCTCAGACCACTACTCATTCACATTCTATGGAAGGTACACACACACACATATGACTCACAATCTGAATCAGGTGGTTCAGCACGCTTCGTCCTTGAATCTTAAGGGCTTGGTCTGCTATCTCACAAATTGTTCCTTTCAGTGCTAAGAATAATATTTTAACTGGCTCCGAACAATTTTCCTTCTCGATGTCTACGTCCCACCTGTGGCACGTTCAACGTTGTTGATATATATATATATATATATGCAGCATCAGTGTTATAACGCCGGAGAAAGGAATTTTAAATTCACAAGGGAAAATAAACTTGGGTCAATGTACATATACTTCTCCATGAGTTCGACAAGCCTTGTCTGGTCTTCTTCAGAGCCCCAAACATCGTACATGTCATCAGAAACAGATACGAGCAAGCCATTCTTAGCCCATGACATACGTGCCTCACGAAGCTCTGGTTCCACATGTGTTCCTGCGGCTGTCAAGTACGAATATGCCACTTTTTGGTCTGGGAAACTGTAGTTTGTCCATTCCACTCTCCATAAACCACCTGGTTGTATGATATAATAATAGACCAAATGTGTGAGATTCAGACGAAACAATTATATATGAATAACCACTCAGAAAATAGAACACTCTATATATGTATATGTATGGGGGTGTCAACCAAGATCAGCTTAGCCATCTTGTAGTAGTTTTGCCTATACGTCCATTTGAGCTTTGTTTGAGTTATAGAAACAATTAACCTCAAGAGTTATTTCACAATCAGATCTTCGAATTAATAGAGCCACCTATTATATTCTTCGAATTCTTCACGAATTACCAGCTGGCAACTATTGAAGTCTTCAACAGCCAACTCAATAAATTCTCTGTTTGCGAGGTTCACAGAACTGCAAGAAGAATATCCACAAAAATATAAGAAGGATGGATGATATAAGGTTAGGGTTCATGCAGGAAGAAAAAATAATAAGAAAAAAATACTGTACCTGTATGATGTTTTGAGAATTCTCTTTTGGTCAGCCTTATGATTCTCCATTATTTTTCGGTTGAACATACGATCCAAATAAGTGTGATGAGGAAATCGCAAAGCAAAACGAACCTGACATAGTAAAACATCATTTACAATTACGGAGACGTCAAGAACTAAACTGTCATGAGATTGTAGCCGATGTTTAACTACGCACCTCATGGTCAATATTATGAAGAGGTTTGTGATCCTGTTCTGAGGAACAAGACAAATATTCCCTAAGGAAATCTCCTGTCCAGGAATTTAGTTCTTCCAAAACTGGATCATGTGAAAGTAGAGGTATTTGTGAAGCCTTGTGTAACTCCATAACAGCATTAACATCCTTCAAATATCCCTCAAGGCTATTGCAGAATTTGTCTTTAGAAAATCGAATCAGTGCATCTGAAACGCGTAGAAATAAATATCAAATTTAGTTGTTTCTTTCGTCTTTTTGATTTCCTCCTCACAGAAATCAATTGGTGCGCGACAAAACCTGAAGAAACATCATATTCATGTGACCGTAGTAAACGAAATGCAATGGCACATGTGGTTGGTTCCAAAAATATATCATCCTCATCCTGCCGCCACAATCTGCTTGCAATAATAAACAAAATAGAAACATAGACTACTATGAGCTTTTGAATTTTTGTGTGTGTCTATATATATATACGGGACGCTTATCAATTACCTGTATCTTTGGTTTAACACACGACCGATTTCCTCTGTGAAAAATCGATCAATGCCCAATATTTCAAGGCTGTCAACCATATAGATTCGAGCAAAGGCATCAAAAGGATGCCACGTCGGAACTGAAAATTTTAACATTTGTGAGTGTGTACAATTGAATTAGTATACAGTTAAGATTAAGATGATAAAAAAGATATCATACCAAGTTTGAAAAGCCACTAACCAGAATTCCCAAATTTATCTAATAACGAGCGGAGATAATCAAAACATTGTGTATTGTTTAAGTGTGTGAAAGCAGCTGCAGTAGTGGCAGGTGAGTTAAATAAGGATCCATTCTTTCTTTGATGTTTCATAGCCATTTCCCAATCTTGAGAATTTCCAAATCCTTCTGAAATAAATGCTAAATATGCTTTCCAGCCTTCTAAATTGCTTCCAGCCCAGCCTCTGTATATTGTTCAGAAGAAGCATGTTAATCAATAACTTGGTATGTATACATGAGTGTACAGATGACAAAGAAAGTTACTTCCTCCTCCAAATGTAAGAGCTAATTAAATATAGTTTACTTTAGTCTTAAATGTGAGACTTCAATCTATTTCGTCTACCATATTTGTGATTTTCCCTTGAACTAGCTACTTAAACTAATATTGGTTGCACATGTGTAATCAATAATATAAGAATAGTTTCCAATTTAAATGATTAAAAGGAGAAATATTCTAAGGAAACCAATAGACTTATTTTTACAAATAACTAACTTAAGTGCTGATTTTTTTTTAATTTGTGTGATTTAATTATCTATCTCACATATTTAGGCTTGAAAGGAGTGTGTGTGTGTGTGTATGCCTTTGGAGCTCCAATTCTCTCTTTTGGATGGGTGACTCCAGACTTTTCCCCCCAAGGGGAAGATTCAGATCCAACTTTTGGGCTTTCTCGAGTACATGAGAGAAGATAATGTCGAATCCAATTGGAGAATGTTGCTTGTTATCGAAAGATGAAGCAATGTTTGACTCAATATATGCAAGTCCTTTAACAGCACGAGATGACATATATATCCCGTTATTTAACAAAACATAATTAATGGGTCCAAAGCTAGGACACTATAAGGAATGAATAAGACAGAAAAAATCATTATTTTTTGTTAGATTTGATTAAATCATTATTACCTTTATTAATTTTCTGTTCACCAACACCCCATTGCTTAAGAGCAAGGACACAAGCCAAGGTAGATAGGAGAGAGTCTTTGGTCAATAACTCATCACGATCAACATGACCCCATGATCCATCCTTTTGTTGATTCTCTAATAATCAAAGATTTGTTTACTAAAGATTCCTTATCAACACCTAACTCTTCTCATATTTAGTTATTAATGAAACTTGAAGTCTTTGTAGTTTATTAAAAATTAAATGAAGTTTGCGGTGTCTTTGAAAATTAACACTTGAAAATTGAAAATAGATCCCCTAATATAAAACTCAGTCGCAACTTGCTTCATGGAGCCATGAAGTTTTGAAATGTTAGGCCAATGAGTAATAGGCTAGTGTAAGGGGCCAGGGCCTGTAGTGAAGCCTTGTAATCTATTAGCGAATGCTTCATATTCTCAAAAATAAATTGTTCTTTTGTTCCACTTGCTTTTTTGATTTTGTTCCCCTTTTCTGTGGAGACTTAGTGCACAATAAGTAAAGGTATCAATTAAGGCTGGTCTTTTAAGGGCTAAGGCCTAAATGGGATGACTCTTTTAAGCTCGATTATACCTTAGGCCTTCATTTTTAGTAGTTCAGCCCTGGCTCTCAAGGTTGAAAAGCCAACCTCAATCATAATTATTTTTTTAATTATTTTAATTTAAAAATTTAAAAAAATATATTTAAAATCCTAACAAAGTTATTAGATATCACATTAAGTCTAGAATAAAATAAAATTAATTCATACAACAAAAATTTTAAATCTGATAAAAAAATAACATCCCAAAATCAACTCCGACATCAATTACACATTGGTAGTATCATCAGTTAAATCTTAATGATTTTTATCATCGTCAACATCAATATGATTTGATCTTTCTCCTTGTGAACCCTCATCAATAGCAAATATGTTAAGCTTTTTATATCTTCCTTCTTCATCCTCATTATCTACAATAAATAATAAACCAAAATCATAATTTTAAGGTATTTAAAGAATGTAAAAATATTCAAAGTAAGCAAATAATAATGTGCGTGTCTACTATCTGGATTAGAGAATAAGTACTGAGCCTGAGTGATGTGGTGTCTTCTTTTTATTTTTTTTTTATGTTATTTTTTTCAAAAAAAATATATTACTCTTAAAAGAGCTGGCCTTTTTTATTTTTGGGCTTAAAAAGGCCGGCTCTTTTAAGAGTAATATATTTTTTTTTGAAAAAAACAACATATTACTCTTAAAAGAACTGGCCTTTTTTATTTTTGGGCTTAAAAAGGCCGGCTCTTTTAAGTTCAATTTATCTTTTTAAAGACAAAAAAAGTGGCTTGACTCTCAATTTTTTCAAACTTAAAAAAGCCGAGATTGTATTTGTCTTACAATGAGTGTATAATATATATATATATATATATATATTCTATTTTTTTATATCTGAAAGTATAGATTCTATCCGTCTCATTGTATTTGTCTTTTAAACTTATCAGACAAGCAAAGTAAAAAAAAATACAACAAATATATAAAAATATGACCTATTTTATTAAAATTTCCTTTCATGTAATGCCTCTAAAACATTGTTATAATAATAATAGTAAGTTACTAAAGGATAAAACACGTAAAGTGTTATTAAATATTACTTATTAATATATATAAGTGTCATTTCCCTTGTACGCTGAACCATTTGTTTTGCCTCGTTAATGATATATTATCCTTTTGCTGGTTAAAAAAAGAAACGAAAGATGTTATTAAATATTATTTTAAAATTCTTAAAATAAATAAAATATGAATAGAACAAATATAAAAAAATAAGTAAAAAATAATAATTTTTTCTACAAACAAAAACGGAGGGAGTACGTTATAAGGGTCTTTCTTGTGGAAATATATGATAGTTTGAAAAGCAGGTTGCCTCCAGATAATGACACAACTTTTCTTCAATTCCAAAATGAATAGAACAAATGCTTCAGTCTTGTTGAACTTTATACGGCTGACTCGTGGAGTTTGTTTTTTAACTTTTTAATTTCATCAAATTAGCGTAAAACTTTTTTAATATCAATTTGATTAAAAATTGAAGGAAAAAAATTAAACATGTGCTCGAGCTTTGAATTTAAGTATTTCTTAACATACATTTATCTGGACGTACCCGTTCAGGATTCAGGCCCAATTTCTTGGCTTATTGTGGGCTTTCAGTTCAAGACTTCAAGATCTCTCACCAATTTTATGGGCTGATGGATTTGGGAAGGATTTGTGACTTTGTGGGCTCATGCCTTTGACAAACCCTTGTTGGATTTATGACTAATGCCATTAAAAAAAATAAAAAAGAAACAGACACTCTAGCTCAAAATTTTCATTAGAATTATTAGGACTAAGGTCTATTTTTACCTTTTAGGAGAACTCAGTATTTTAAATTTTTTATTGTAGTGATGTTACCTTTGAAATAATTAAATTTTAACAATGTTATCCCTAAATCTAATATTAAGTTTGAGCCAAAAAAATTAACGATCTAACATTTGGTACTTAAAATAGAAAATCTGTCGTTTAACTAGAGATATGCATATAGGATAAGCAATACATTATATGTTACAAGAGAATATCGTTACACATGACATCCGTAAATCATCACAAATTTTATCCATTATCTGGAAAAATGGCAATGAAGCCCCCAGAAGAGGGGAAAAAAAAAAGTAGTGAGGGCCCAAATGCATCTAAATATTTATCTGTGGATAATTAAAGGTTGATCAATTCATTTATAGATAAATGAAATTTTAGTTGTGCAGGCCCTTGCTATTTTTTTTTCCTCTAGCTACACTCACCGCCATTCTTCCTATAATTTTCTTTCTATATATCCTTATTGAATTGATCATTTTACTCAATATTGTTCTACCCAACAAAATATTATTTATTTCTAGTCCTATCATTATTCACAACAATTGAACCATTGACTTGTTAATGAGCAATCAATCCTATTTTCTTAACATTGATAACTGTACTATACCTCCTCATATTTTCTCCCAGAATAAAAATTGCTTAGCCATCGCTTTCTCCAATGAAATGATATGTCGTAAGGCTGGTGATTGGAGTATAAATTAAATATGCAAAAAATTAAAATAACCATAAGAAAGTATTTGTTAATTTTGGAATAATATTGAACTTATATATAGAAATTTAATATTCTTCGTCCCTCCACGTTTCGAGCAAACTGGTTCGTTAAGCATGTGCTGTCTCTGTCAAGAAATTGTGGAGGAATCAATAATTTGATACGGTCTGCAGGTTAGAATCGGATCCAGATATGGTGTAGACCCGTGTTCACACGGATTGATAACTTATTAATTAATACTTACTCTGATCGGTTAGTCTTATTTATAAATTATTTTTAATATATTTTATTAAAATTTAAAAAAATAAATTTTATTAACTCTATTTTAAAATTTAATAAATTTTAAATTTTATACATAATAAGAACAAAAAAAATTATTAAAAATAATTTTTTAACATTTAATAAAGATAAAAAAGTAAAAATGAATTTAAAAAAACATGAAGTATCCTGCATAAATTTACAAATAGAACCAAAAGAGTATTCCATAATATATTGTTATAAATTTATAAATTATTATTATTATTATTATTATTACCACATATATAGAAGGTATATTATTTTTTGACCCGCATTGAATGTAAGTTGTTAATAGGAAGAATTTCATTATACGATAAGAAATGTAACTTTATTACAAATCAATCTCAAACAATTCTGAAATTACATGCAGGACTAAAAGATTAAACTGAAGCTTTGTTTTGTAACAAAATGACTAAAATATCCTCCAACTAATTTTTTGTAACAACTAAAGTCCCAAACAATAACATTACTAAAATAATAAGTCATGTTACAGTTTAATAAGTTCGCTTCATGTTGTTACAAAATAATATTAAATATACAAAATCTGTATTGTAAAAAGTTTCTTTATTGTGTTAATAAATAAAATTATTAAAATAACAAGTCAAGTTATGGTTTTAACAAGTCACGTCATATTATAAAATTGAATATGCAAGATAAGTGGTTAACAAGTTTTTTTATATTACATTTAGATGCAAATGGATTTTGAATTTTGATTTGAATTTAAGCCTAATTTATTATTTGGATCCATAGGAATTTATGGATTTGGATTTGGTTCAAATTCATATTTAGATATAATTCTTATGTAATTTCAAATCCTTTCTATACATTAAGAATTTTAAATTTTAATTCACTTTCAATCACCCTCTGCTGTCACCATGTGCCAGTCCACTGTCTCTACGGCAGATGACTAGTGAGAAATTGCAATTTTATGTATTTTTATTTTTTTAATTTAGAATTTTTAATATTTATTTGAGAGTAATTGAGTTTAAGTGAATGCTATTTAATTTTATTAGTCAATCTTCAACTTTTGAATTTTAACTACCTAATTCTTGAATTTGAAAATATAAATGATTTCTTTGATATTTTTTTCATACTTGCTATTTGATTTTATTTTATTTATGCAAATTTTCTATATTTAATTTAAAAGATATTGATAGAAATTATTTTGGACAAAATAATACGGGTATACTTAAAAATTAAGGTATACTTAAAAATTAAGTCAAGAATCAAATCTCATAAAATTTATTTATGTTTATTCTAGGTTTTTTGATATAGTTTTTAATTAGGGTTTTAAGGGTAATTTTATCATTTTATTAAATTATTTGGTTTATTTAGCATATGGGTAGCACACGATCGAACGGCACGCGCAACTTTTTAAAATTACAAAAGGAACAGGAGGCGGCCGAAATAATTGGAAAAGAAGAATAGGCGCATGGCATAGCTCTTCATCTTTCCTTTTCTTCAATTTCTTCAGGCGATTGCTTTTTCTGCTCTCATTTTTACTTATTTTTGTTCGATTTTTAGTTCAATGCAGAACTATTTTTTTTAGTATAATCAATCACAAATTATAATCTTAAGTTATAATTACATTTTTTCATATTCAAAAAAAATTTATTTATCTTTATTTTAAATGATTAGAATAGTTTTATTACATAATTTTTGGGTTGTATATTTTATCTAAAGTTTTACATGCTATAATCAATTAATACAACATCACAAGAGTAATTTGCAATGACTTAAATAATTATTTATACTTTATTTTTAGTGTGGGTAATATAGAAATAATTATTACATTGTGAGTTAAAAGAGATTTCAATTAATTCATAACTTAATTTCTTATTTAATCCTTGAATGATAATTTACAAAAATATAAAATAAACCAGAATAGTAAAATTAAATAAATTCAAATTATTTTGTGGGTGTGGAGGATTTTAGGTGATTGGATTGTAATTGATTATGCTATCTATGCTTGATGATTTTTTCAATTGAACTTGCTTTAATTATTTAATTTTAATTTATTTTTAATTAATTTTTGCCATAAAACAATTCCCTCACTATTTAGCTTCATTGTAAAATTTAGTTTTTATTAATTTTAATACTATTTGACATTAGTGTCAACTAGATTGCCGCCATTGATTAGGATTAGACTGTTGATGTCAAACGTGATCAGACCTCCACTAACGATCGCCAATGGCAATTGAGACTCATCCTATTTGTCATCCAAGACCTGACTGTCGATGCTGATCGAGACCAAACCACCACCAGTGCCAATTGAAATTAGACTGCCAATATTGACTTGTCCCAATAAGCATCGACGGTCCCATCTTGATCTATGTATTGTAATTTTAGAATTGATTGGCACTAATTTGAAATAAAGTCATATTTCTAGTCCAATAATAAATTCTCCCTTATTAATACTCTTAAATCCCACACAACACAACTATTAAATAACATGAGATTGATTGACAACACAGCAAAATAACAACTAAGTTAGCCCACGGAGGATCTCAATAATTAATAATATTCATGGTAAATGATTGCTTGCTTGTATAATTTTTTTAAGTAAGATATATATGCTATGAGCACAAATTTAAGGAAAGAAATTTTTCAAAAAAGATTAGCCTATATAGATGTGAGGATTCAATTGAATCTATAAACCTTATAATTCTTGTAAGCTCCCCAATTTAAAATTCATAACATCTTTTGAGTCTCAACAAGTTAAGGTTTTAGAACGAGTTGTTTTTTTAGAACTATGCTACAAATAATATATTCACTTGAATACATAGAAGTGTATATGTATTTTGTGATGCCTACAATCTTTGTAAATATTTAAAGCCTTGTTACTGAAGTTGATCGGTGGCACAACAGAGAAAGGAAACGTTTAAATAAACTTTATTCTACAAAAAATATGAAATTATATAATTATTAAACAATATTATCTTGACTCAACTCAGAAACATACATAATATAACGCAGACAAATTAAGGGTCATATGTGATAGGAATCAAGCAAAGATCATTTTTTCTCCTCACTGTAGGGCCAGAATTCTCAGTCATGTCCAATTTTTCGTGCTCTAATCCATCAGGAAGCTTCCAATCAAAGTGGTAAAGCAAATTGCAGAGCATGATTTCCACAAGAACTGTAGCAAATGAGACTCCAGGACATATCCTCCTTCCAGAACCAAATGGCAAGTACTCAAATTCTGTGCCTTTAAAGTTGTAATCAACTGAGGCATTCAAGAACCTTTCTGGTTCAAACCTTTCAGCTTCATGCCAATACTTTGGATTTCTTCCAATTGCCCAACCATTGATGATGACCCTAGTCTTAGGTGGCAATTCATAACCATTAATTTCACAGCCTTCGCTGTTTTCTCTTGGAAGCAAAAGTGGCAAAGGAGGGTGTAGCCTCAGAGTTTCTTTTATGACTGCAGATACATATTTCAAGTGACAAAATTCTGATTCATCTACGTAGCCTTTGCTTCCGAAAAGCCTTCTTACCTCTTCTTGTGCCTTTTTCATTTTGTTGGGATTTCTAAGAAGTTCTGACATTGACCACTCTACTGTTGATGCTGATGTTTCAGTTCCACCAAGGAAAACATCCTGGAAACAAGAAATGTTTTGAATCAGAACACAGATATATGTGTATGTGTGAAGAAATTATATGAGAAAATAGTATACTCACTGCTATGATAGCTTTAATGTTCCTATCAGTCAAAGGGAATTCAAGGTTATTTTCCTTTTGAATCCTTAGGAGAACATCAACCAGATCCTCTGTTTTACCAATATGACCACTGCGATTCTTCTTTTCTTCATGATCGTTGATGATATTCCTTACCATCAGATCAAGCTCCTCGTTCACTCCATTAATCTTAGCCTTTATGCCAGTGATCACTTGAAGGAATTTCAGCGAAGGGAAGAGATCAGCAACTGAGAAACCACTTGCCAACTCTAAGGTACGCTTCATCAATAATAGGATCTGTTCAACGTTCTTGGTCTTGGCACCAAAGGCTGCTTGTGCGGTCACAAAATTCGTGAGCTCGTAAAGCTTCTCACTGAGATTGATGACGGAGCCTTCATGTTCAGATATATCCTTCACAAGTGCTGACACCTCCTCTTCTCTAATTGTTCTGAATGTTTGGACCCTCTTGGCAGACAAAAGCTCCAAAGTACATATCTTTCGAAGTTGCCTCCAATAGTTTCCATAAGGAGAAAAGGCTATGTCTGTGTTATTGGATATGAGTGTGGTGGCAACAAGAGCAGGCCGATTAGCGAAGGTTGTGTCGTGGGTCTTCATGATCTCTCTGGCAATTTCTGGGGAAGAGACAACGACATGGGACAGCTCCCCAAGTTGAAGATGAATAAAGGATCCATACTTGTTGGCTAAGTCTCTCATGGCATGATGAGGTAGTGATCCAACAAGTTGGTGTAAGTTTCCGATGATAGGTAATTTGGATGGCCCTGGAGGTAGGGTTTTGATTGATTTCTTGGAGGTTAATGATCGTTTTAGTATTACAATGAAGAAGAAAGAGATGGCGAAGAGGACAGAGTATGGGATGTGAATCTCCATTGATGGGGAAGGAAATGGAAAACTAGGGATGCTCTGGGTTAGAAGATATGGACCCCTTTTATAAATTAATAAGAAAAAAAAATGGTATTATGTTATATTATATATGAACCAAAAAGTGGGGAAAGAGATTTGATGAGATAACACTTGTTGGTTTCCGGATTATTTAAATCTAACTTACTCTGGATGCAAATTCAACTCCACTTCAACAAACATTAAATCACGCAATCTCCATTAAGAAATCCTAATCACTGCTTAGCCAAGTTAAGCATTGGTTTAGGTGCTTGTTACAGTTGTGAATTGTAATAGAAAGTTATTTATACATGTACCGTTTAAATTTAATCAGCAGTTTGAATTTAATTATTTTCACCTTTTTTTTGGAACAATTTTTTTCACTTTTTATTTCTAAGTTTTTTTATTTTAATAGATGCAAAATCTAAAATAAAAATAATTTCTTCACAGTCATTTCTTAAAAAAAATAAAAACATTGACTAAGAATTATAAATATAAAACTTTGAATCTCAAATGTTTATTTTTTTTTTTGAGAAAATAACAATCAAGGATTGCTGAATAAAATTTATATTAGTCAAGAATCAGTTGTTTGTCAAAACTCAAACAGAAAACAAACTCAAATGAATTGTTATTAATTTTAAAATTAATTATTGTTAAAACTTAAATGTATACTTGTTGATAAAAGATCAACCCGAATTAACAAGTATTCATTTAAATTCTAACAATAAATTATCATTGATTAATATAAATTTACCCTAGCTGTTCTTGTTGATATTTTCCCATTTGAACAGCTGAGTTAAAATTTATCAATATTTTTATTTTTTTATTTTAATATATTATTTCTCACAATCCTTTATTCTTACATATTTTACATAAAACATTTAATTTAATTAATACTGAACATGTCATCTTTAGTAAAATAAGCTTAAAAACCAGATTCCAAGTGCAAAAGGCACGGTAATTTGTACAATTCTTTGTTTTTTTTTTATATTTTCTTTTTTCTTTAAGCATCATGTGAATTAAATTATAATATCTTCAAGCTAGGTTAGCACGGGTTCATCTTTCGTGCTCATGCTACTCATCAGGATAATAAGATCTGTACCATCTACATTTTTAATTTTAATGGTCTAAATTTAAAATATTTATTATATATTTTTACTTTATATTTATTAAGATAAAAGATTATAAAATTTTAATAAATTTGTCCATCACCAATCTAGTTTAGATTTAATTTGAAGAAGTTAATTTAATATTAAAATTTTAAAAAAACTTTAATATATTCACTGTTCAGATATATTTTGAACAATCTAAATTAAAATTTTTTACAAGTGATATGGCTTTCTTCTGAAGAAAATTAAATTGTTATTGGTCAATAAAAAATGAAGAAAAGTAAATTGTTCATTGTTGGTGGGCTATGCCTTGTGACTTATGGGAAGGAAGTTTGACAAATTAAGCCATTAAAATATGATAACAAATTTTGACTGTCGACTTTGAATAATTTAATTCTAACCGCACAAACTGAGATTGAATTGTCCTATTGAAGTGCGTATTGATCAAAATGATAATTGAACTAAACTTCAATTGATCGTTTTCGAAGAATATGGAGTCAGGGCATTAGATTAACTCCAGAGCTTGTTGGTTAGGCCAAGTCCATCGAGTGTCGGTGCGCTTTCCCCATCACTAAATGCACGCCTGCGGTATGGTCTCACTAGTCTGTTAGTCCCTGGTTTCACCACCCGGGCAATTTCTACGAAGTTGAAAAGAGACATTGAAATACTTGAGCTGTCCTCTTGTCAGTGTCAAATAAAAGTGGGAAGGTGTCATTCGACAACCTTTAAAAGAATTCAATATCTGACCAATGCGTTTCGTAAGTAAACGCTAATGGTTAATAAGGAAAGTTTGAGTTTCAACAAATGTTTCACCTGTTTAAGTTCTTATTAGATATTAAATTTTTTTAAGAAAATAGAAACAAAGAATCTCACTATTAAATTAATATCAATCAAGGATTAATTAATTTTAAAATTATAATTTAATCCCTTAATCTTTGACTGATATAAATTTGTGAGGTTAAAAGATCAAATTATTCTAAAAAATAAAAAAAAAAAGGCCACTTCTCTACCATTGCTTGCCACTGAAACCATATTGACAGTGAGATTGCAGAGCTCCTGACACCGGTGGGGTCACTAACAATTGGCCACCAAAGTTCTGACACCGGTGACATTTTTATTCAAGAAATATTTGATTTAGGTGGTCAAGGGAGGGTTTGATCCCATAACCCCTTGACCACCTAAAAAAATGGTATCCTAGTTAATTATAGATGCCAAAAAAAAAAATATAAGTAGTAAATATCTACTTTCATATTATAACATAATAGTGTATTGTTAATTCATCAATTGCATTTATTATTTTACTAATATTATTTGTTAATTTGACATAAACAATTATAAATTGAAAGTTCTAAAATTTCATACATTTTAATTATTAAACGTTTGAATGTATTATTATTAATCACTACTTGATTGTTGTTAAAATTTGAACGGATACTTATTGAAGAATGACTAACACGTACAATTAAGTCCATTTTATTAATTTTTGTAACTTGTTAAAACATGAAAAAGTTATTGTTAATTTCAAATGAATTATTGTGAAAACTTAAATGCATACTTGTTGATGAAGAACTAATATTTATATAATTAAGCCTATCTTTCTAACTTGTTAAATCACGAATGAAATGTTGTTAATTTAAAATAATTTTTTTATTACAATTTGAATGAATATTTGTTGATGAAAGACTAACAAATACAATTAAACTCATCTCATCTATTTTTTTAACTTGTCAAATCACACATGAAATATTATTAATTTAGAATAATTTATTATTAAAACTCGAATAAATACTTATTAATGAAAAACTAACATGTACAATTAAGCCCATTTTATCTGTTTTTCTAACTTGTGAAAGTTCAAATAAAATGTTGTTAATTTAGAATAATTTTATGTTAAAATCCGAATAGATACTTATTAATAAAAGACTGACATGTACAATTAAACTTATCTTATTCATTTTTCTAACTTGTTAAAGCCTGAATGGATTGTTGCTAATTTAAAATAAGTTATTATTAAAACTTGAATGAATATTTATTGATAAATTTAAGAGTTCTCTTTTTCTTTATTTTATTTTAATTTTTTTAGAGAGTAGTTATTTTCTTAACATTTATAGAGAATTGAAACAAAAGCTTAAACTAATTTTTTTCCAAGTAGACGTAAAAAGTTTGATTAAAAATATGATTAATTTTTTAAATAAAATAATATGTGTTTATAAATGTTTGTCCAAAGTTTTTTTAAATTTTAAATTTTAAATTTAAATGATTTATATAATCGCTTAAACTTATATCATTTTAAAATTAATTTCATTTTACTAAAATGTGATGAAAAAATTGTGTTTAGAAATTTTAAAAAACATAAATAAATAAGTTTCAATAAATTTGATAAAAATTAAATTTATAAAATTTTATATTATAACAAAAATTAATAAATTTATAATTTATAATATAATAAAAGTTTTAAAAATATATATATATATATATTATATTTTTTAATTATATACGAAATAATTGTTTTAGAAAATTTAGTTTTTTATATAATTCTTATGTTAAAGTGGGGTATTTTGGTCAAATAAATCAAACTTAATGGTAAACTAAAATTTGGATGAGTAGAAATAGAGTCTCAAATATATAAGAAAGGTTTATTTAATATATATTTTAATTCTAAGAGAGGTTTATATGAGTTTTTAAAATACAAGGAAGGTTTGTGTAATTAAAGGAACATAAAAGGGTAGTTAATTTGTATTTATAAAACAAAGAGTAATTTATATATTTTACTCTTAATTTGTAACATGGAGTACGAGTTCGAATCCTGGAAGAGATGAAGGGAGAATGTGTGTTCGTGCGTGTTTTTCTTTCTTACGGGCAAATGGATGAGTTTGTACTACATGAATTTAATTTGGAAAAAAACAATATATACAAGATGTAGTAAAATGCATATAAAAATTGTTTACTTAATGAAAACGATTCCAACACAGTAATATCTAAGTTTTGGTAAAAAAAAAAAAAAACATATGGCAAATTTCATATCCTATTTTCAAGGATAAATGAGTGAATTATTTTTTAATTTTTAAATCTAATAATACTATAGATCCTGAATTTATTTATTGTGCAAATTATTCTTTCAACTTTTAAAAATAATAAAATTTAGCTCTTATTATTAGCTAAAGCTAATTTTGATTGTTAGTTGATAAAAAAATAATAAAAGATATAAAAAATTACAGAAATAAGCCAAATATTTTTTTTCCTTTTTTGTCCTTATATGTAATTTTAATTTTTTGTAATTTTTTGTCCACTTATATAATTTTTGAGGTCTTTTCTATCATTTATGATTAATCAATGATTAAAATTAACTTTTATTAATAACAGAAACCAAATTATATTATTTTTAAAAGTTAAAGGAACACTGTATTTTGTTCTCTTATTTTTTTAAATTTCAAAGTCTGTTTTTTTTTACCTAAATAATTTTACTTCTTTTCATTAATCTACATGACTATTATTAATATTCTGTTATTCAAGTAAGCAAATTTTAACAGTAAAATTTTTTTTAAACCATAAAGACCAAATCAATACTCAAATTAAATTTAAAGGACTGATTAAATTAATAAAAATTAAATTTAAAGGATTAAATTGATAATTGAAACAAATTTAAGGAATCAAAAATTGCATTATCCCAACATAAAAATGCAAATTATGGGAGAATGGTGAATGGTACTACCGTCAAATAACTTCCACTACTCCATCACTATTTATTATGGAAGAATGATAGATAGGTCTCAAAAAAATTAATTAATTCAAAGTAAGTCCTAAAGTATCAAACTTCATAAATTTACAAGTTTGGCTCTTAATTTTATAATTTTATTGTAATGAATTTGTAATTTATATTCAAAATTTTAATAAAATAAATAAATTTATTTATTATTTAACTGTGTTAATTTAAAAAATAAGTTGCAGAGTCATCACAATTAAATTATATAATTGAGAGTCAAACTTGTAAATTTATAAAATTTAACATTTTAAAATTTAATTTAAATTAATTAATCCTCTAAAAACCTATACGTCATTCTCCTTTTTACTATTCTTGTAACTTAACCCCACGCATGTTCATGAATTTAGTTACCCACTACTTGTCATAAAGAAACTTTTGGCCAAACTGTCATAAACTTTTGATGTGTGCTCTTTGGAGCCGTTGTTAACTAACTAACACTTGTAAAAAAATAATTGGTTAACATTTTAATATTCACATGTTTTCATTTATGTCCTTGAGTAGAATATTTAAATTACATCCATTAACTACATTAATTTTTTTCTACTAATTATTGCTTTCAATTCATTCCCATGGGATTTGGCATGAAGTTTAACAGAAAATTCAAAAAAATGGCGGGTTCGTGGCATTTGGAATTGGATTTTAACATTTGGATGTGATGATATTTAAAATAGTCGGTTCCACAAAGAAAATGTCTTTAATGATAACAATTAAATATAGAGTTTTTAAAGACAAGGAATGAAAAAAATAAAATAAAACAAGGGTATAAATATTAAAGAACATAAAATTGGAAAAATGTAATGTTTTTAAAAAAATTATAGTGTCAACTAATATTTTTTTAAAACCATAAATTAATTACTAATATCTTATATTTTGGTGCGAAGGGAGTATATTATTAGATGGAATAAGATGAGAAAATTCTCTCTTTATTTTATCTCTATTATCTCTTCTCCATACATTTCGCTTTATTTTACAATTCATTATCAGCGCTAATCTTTACTAAATAAGCATGAGGCATGAATTCTAGCTATTTTATTGTAAATTAAAAGACAAATGTTTGAAATTATTTTGAATTCCACCAAATTTAATTTAGATGTTTTGTCTTTTTTTAAAAAAAAAAAAAGTTGACCTTCAACATTTTTATTTTAAATAAGACAAGATACAGAATAACATGAATCCAGGACATGGCAAAGCTCTATGGTGGCTTAATGCTCTGTACACTTCAGAAATCAGAACTGCGTGTTTGAGTACTGCTATTTTCTACATATTGTTGAAAACTGGACAGAAGTTGCCAAACAGCTGGTGATGAAGTACCACCACTCACTAAGATTTTCACATTAAATTACTCAGATATCCTTTGCATTATTCACCTTTTTATCAAACCGCACACCCGGACACAACGAATAAACAAGATATTGAAAGAACAGTTGAAGCAATTAACTTAATGAAGGAGCTATATGATGACTCTCTCAAACAGAACCTTGTTGACGTGAGAGCTGATAGTGTTTGGGTTGCAGTGGGCTGTATAGTAAAAAGCCTTTGTCACTGTGAGGAACGTCTTCTTCAAGTTGGAATCAATGCCATTTGAAGACAGCACCAACTGTACCAACTCTTGCATTTTCAATGCTATTTCTGGCTCTGACAGCCCACTTCTGTCCTTATTGCACCTTCCATTACTATTGCCTTCTTCATAAATCTAGAAGCAAATGATTGTACCTTAACATCAGCTATTCTGCAGGGTGTCAATTTAAACCCAAAAAAAAAAAAGTAATAATAAAAAATTCACAATGATATTAGCAGGTTAATTAATAGTACCTTGTTCTCTTGCAGGGAAGTTAGTTGGAGGCAGAGTTCATTTGAGAGTTGGACGAGTCTCTGGTGAATAGGATTCACTTCTATATCTTGGGAAATTTCAAAGCCGCCATTCAAGTTTATCATTTTAACCAAGAGCTCTGCTTCTCCTTCCCACTCATCTCCTTCACTTTGCGATCCCGACAGCCACTTTTCCCACTGTAGAATCATGCATTAATGAACTCCATATGAAATTGCTAGATAAATATACAGTTTTGGGAGATGCAAGACTCATCAGTACATAGTTATATATATATATATATATCTATATGAATTGTAAGACACACTTACTGTATTGTGAAGAATGTTGAAAGTCGCAGTAGATGAGGCCTGGGAGAAAGAAAGCAGAGTATCTAATAAGATCCCCAGAAGTCCTTCTCTGTTCTTGCTTTTATTCAGACATCTGCTACAAATACACTCACACAGGTGAGTAAATCATCAAAGAAATATCTAGTAGGTTATGTTATGATTAGTTTGAGTAATGATATTTACCTTCCATTCAAGGAGTTGCTGCTGAAACTGAATTCTTGCACGAAGGCTTTTCTTTGTTGTGGATCACAATAATTGGATTTAATAGTTTCCATCAGAGCAGAAGTTTTGAACCAAGCAAGTCGTTCTTTGGATCTCTCAGGTTCAAATATGCTAGCTGCCGCCAGAAAATAAAGAAGAAGAAGCCTTTCTCTGCTCAATCCTAACTCTTCTAGTCCACATTCTGAGTGCCATCTGCATAGAAACATTTCACCAATACCAAATTCTGAGATCTGAAAAAACAAGTCATTAAGAAAGAGACAACTAATAAGATTTGGTATTAATTCTTACTTTTGAATCGTTTTCCATTCTGCTTGATGCACGGCTTGGCACATGTTGTAGTCTAATGTCCCTAGTTCAAGATTGGTGTCATTGCTCACCTTGCGAAACCTGTGAGAATGAGAGCCTTACAATATATCATTGCAATCTCAATATACATGCATGTGAGGTCTCGGTATATTTAATCATTTACCATTTACGTATATAGATAATATTTGAAAGAAAGTTACCTATAATACGTTTTGGAAACCCAGATGTCATCTCCACCACCATATTGCTCCAAGTAAAATCTGGTCTCTACACGAGGCAAGCTCGCGTACCATGGAAAATCTAATGCATAACCCACCTGTCATACAAAATCTTGATGATTCAACTGTTCCATGATGTTCAATATAATTAGCAGTTAGGATATATAAATATATATATATATATATATATATCTGTAGATTAGATACCTCGCCAGGTAAGTCCTTGAGTAAGACCCATTTATCTAAAATCTGATTAGCAGCTCGTTGCTCGGTCAATAATTTGGTGGTGAAGTTCTTGGCGACTTCAAGAATCTGTTCTCCTGGGAATTGAACTTGACAAGCTCTGTACAAATTATACGTGTCCGTCGTCCCTTGATCTGTTTGCCCACGGTAGCAGAAAAACTCACCATCTTTTTCAAAATTCTTGAATATATCTGTCCATGTAGAAACAGGTTTCATCAATGAAAGCTCATGCGAAAGGTTCACAATATAATCGAAGTTAAACTTATTATCTGAGTAAATTATTGGCAAGTCCGTCAACTTACCAGCTGAAACTTCATAGCCATTCAATCTTAGTAGCCTGAATCCCATGGATGTTTCGTCAAGGTCTGGTAAGTTTGAAAATCTTGTCCACCCAATTCCATCCTCCTTTCGGTTTCTGAAATTTCGAGGTCAATGTTACTCTTTCTTCCAACTCTATTAGTGATGTATCGATAATACACATGAAATTGACACTTTTTCCTGTATATTACGTGAAGATTGTGTATCACTTGTGAATACAAACAGCTTGGTTTCATTATAGATTAGCCAAGACATTGTAATGGAGAGTAAAGAGACAATATACATGATAGGAAAAAAGAAATTTACCTTTGAACATAATCCAACATGTCTGTTATGTTTCGTTGAAAGTATCTTGAAATTCCTAAGCGATCCAATCGATCAACAACCCATAATCGTTCGAAGAAATCCAGGGGATAAAATTCCGGAGCTGAAAGTTTCAGAAATCCGAAAGCAAATAACTAACCGAAGCTGATCACTGTATTCCCCCCCCCCCTTTCCAGAGACCACTTTGTGAATTGTTCCTACGTACCTTTGCCATTAAATTGGCGGACAACATTTTTCAAGTAATTGAGGCAATTTTGATCCTTGGTATGCATGTAGGCATAAGCAGTTGCCGATGGACTGAACAAGAAAGACCCATCTTCGTACTGAAGTTTCATAAGATTTTCCCATTGTGCCCCTGGTATCGCTTCCAAGCTGAAGAGGATCGTCGTGGGCACATTGTGAAACACCTCCATTGGGATTCTGCACTTTCATGTACACCATAAGATTACGATCTAGATTTTAGTGTGTGTGGGGTGGTGTATTTTATACTATAGTATATTAAAGAAGAAGTTAATGTAAGCTAATTTTTCAGTGGAATATAGTGATAATGTCCCAGGTAATTTGCAGAGTGGATTGTCGCGAAGCAATGGCGGGAGGCGGGAAGAAGACGCGTGGACGTCACAGCCATGAGGACGCGTGGTGCCACCCTAGAAGAATTTGGCAAATGGGTATGTTCTCGAAGAGTGTAGTAATGGGCCTAATACTGTGGGCCTACAATGCAAAAGGAGAATAGTCTAATAATGGATTTGGGCTTGGAAGATAAGGTGGAGCGTGGGCCCAAAGTTTGATGGTTTGAATGTAGAGGGAGCTGAGAAGATGGTAAGATACTGGTAAAGGAGGTCTCCATTGTGAGACATTATTAAATGTATCATCATGGCAGAGCTTAGATTCCAATTCAACCGGATGCAAAATATAAAAACTTAGGATACTTTTCTATAATTTTGGTTGGGTCAGGGGTGAAATTACCCCTTATTCAAAGACAGATTTAGGGGACAACCACAGTATCAAAAGTTTATTAAATTTAGTTTGTCGTTATTTGTTAACAAAGTTAAAATTAATTTTAACCGCCCGGCTATAATGTAGTTTTGCTTTTGGCCCCCCATTGATTTGGTTCAGGATCTGTCCCTGCCCTTATCCAAATGTGACTCTGCCTTGTGTTCAAGATTTAAAGGCGGATGCATTGAAATTCATGAGATAGATGGTAATTTTGCATGTTTATATATGCTTGGTTGCTTTTTAGTTTGAATGAATTATGTTGAGGAGCGTTATATGCATGTGCATTTTCATATATCTTTGGTTGCTTTTTGAAGAATGTGATACCTTTTGAGCTTCTCATCTCTCCTAGCAAATATTCCTTTGAGGGCAGGGGAGTGGAGAGGCACATCAATATTTGAAGATTTTGCTAATTGAAGAAGTGTTGGAAGAACAATTTCATAGCCGCATGGCATGTGCTCTGGCTCCTCCGTTTCCAATTTGTTTACATTCTCATTAAAGAATTTCAGCCCTATATATGAATTTATATTGTCAGTAAACACACTAAACAAGATTGAAATACAAACTAAACAAATTTAATCTCCATGTAGAAATCAATGTCGATATAGGTTATTAGATGTAAATGAAGTTATATTTAGAAATGTCATGAATAAATGGGTATACGTGCAATCAAATATTATATCATATTGATATTAATTAAGCATATTTAATCAAAAATATAATTTTGTATTCATCTTATTATTTTCACTTCACATAATTACTTGCAACATGGCCAAAGGCTTGCTTTAATTCATGCTTTCATCATGGCATTTAGAGTCGGAACAAGAACTTATCCATGTTATTATTAAAGCTTAATTTTGCGGTGGGTTCCACCTAATATGTGGCGCCCATCGAGGACCCCCCCTTCTCTCCCATGGCTGAAAATCCTCTCCTAGTTAGTTTAAGGGATCAAATTAGTTTTTGTACCTTATTTATGCTTAATTTATTAGCCCAACTCATCTATAATGAAATAAGGTTTGTTGTTGTATGGTTAATGTGTTGTTCTATGAAGTTTAGATAGATGTTCTTGTGTCATATTATATATATATATATATATATATCACTTTCATATATTTGGCTTTGTAGACTTGGTGATACATGCAGTGACTGGCGGAGCCACATTAATTAGCCTGAGGGGGTGCATCCTGATAAGTGAAGTATCTAAATTTTACAACTTTACACCCCTTAATCTTAATATTTTACACCCTCTAAACTAAGTAAAAAGTATTTAGATTCAAAAACTTATTAGACATATAATATTTTAATAATATAGATAAAATATGAAAAGTATATTTATAATTAAAGACTATATCAATGTTCAATATAATTTTTTAAACTAAAAAATACAATTTTAATCATAACATAATTATTATTTTTTAAAAAAATATTATTTTTTATTAAATAATTCTGCATATCTCCAGATCCTAGCTCCCCCACTGGATACGTGCATAGCTAGTTTGTGTTTATTTTTTAATAATGTTACGAAAGTTGATGCTGCCAACAAAAAGAAAAAAGAAAAACAAATCCTCTGAGAGAGCAAGTCATTTTGAAAACAGGAGCAAGATAATAAAGCAAACTCAAGATATTTGAGAATGATTGGATCAAGAACTGGAATATGGATATGACCTTTAGCAGCGATATCAGGATGAAGATCCCAGCGTCGTAAAGCAATAACACAAGCCAAAGTAGAAAGCAGCCTATCGTAAAGCAAAAAGAGATGAGGATCGCCCCACGAGCCATCAGGAAACTGATTATGGATTATCCATTCAAGGCAAGAAGGAAACTGAGGAGATCCATCTCCGTTCTCGTTCTCTATCAGACCCAACCATGCTGTGTTGTATGCTGATACTGATAGGCTTTCCTCTCCTTCTTCTGATTCCAACGTCCACCTGATCGCTTCCACTCTCTTTCTGATCTCTTCCTTTCTTACATACGCCTTTCCCATACAAATCTCATCATCATGTCAATATTAATGATGCATATAGAGTACGTAATTAATTAAGATGGCACAGGAAAGAAAAAAATATAAACCACACCTCCAAAGCTGCTTTTTGTTCCTTACGATCATCCAAAGCACTGTCTTTCTCTTTCAGAACTACTGCAGTAGTAATTTTGAAGTAGTTACATTGAAAGATGAAGCAAAAGAGTTTATTATTATTAGAAGAGTCACTAGGGTCACGGGCAGTGAACAAATTAATATACCGTCAGTTATTTGGTGGGATATGCCGCTGCTGCATTTTGCCTTAAGATCAGAGATTTTGCATCGTAAAGTGGCTCGGGCCTTCAATTCGGATACCCCTATATATTGATTAAGTATAATTATCAACATTAGCTATAATAATATTATTAAGCTCTTCACTGAAAGAGTTTAACTAACATCAAGAGCTTAATTAGATTACCATGAAATTGAAAGCAAGGATGGATGGGGACGGAATCAATGGAAGAAGACGAAGAAGAAGATAACATGTGGTGAGTTGAAGAAGGAAGAGACGAGTGAGATTGATTATTGAAGTGATATTGATGATGATACATGTAGTGAGAGGACAACATTCTTGTTTTCCTTTCTCTGAGGATATTGTCGTTGCTTGTCCAACCAATCCTCGCGTACAGTGAATATATGGCTTTGGGGTTTGCCGAGTAGCATTTATAGAGCCACGAGTAAACGTATTGATGACTTTGGCATAAAAACCGAATTTGTATTGCCAACATATTTTATTTTCTTTTACTCGCTCCACTCTTAAAAATATTATCGGCGACTTTTTATTCAATCACTGCAACTAAGATAGTTTAATGATAAATTGAACCTTTAGTTGAGATCCACATTAAGGGTATTTTAAAAATATTAAATCTTTCCCAAGTTTATATACAAGTTGGCATATATTTAAAACTACAAATACTTTCTAGAAACATGACTTGTATAAAGGATCAAATAAAATTCAACGTAAGCCACTTCTGGTTTCAAATAGTATACTCCTCTGATCCTGTTTATAAGACACTTCAATGGTTGTTATATCTATTTTTACTCTTTTATCCCCATTCAATGTTAAAAATATTATTAAATGTTAGAGTATTTTATTTTTAGAGTAAATATATTTAAAAGGAGTAAAGTTAAAAACTTATTGAATTTTTAGATCAAGATAATGTGATTTAAAATTTTTCTTAATTTTAATAAAATGTTAAAAATAATTATAAATAAAATCAAACGAAGTAAGACACTAGAGAGAGCGTTTCTTGTTGGAAAGATTTTGTCTAGTGTATTAATTACTTTTTTTATTTCAAATTCAACCCTAATTATGAATCTTCTACAAAAATTAGAAATGTAATTTCCAAAGCATAAGAAAGACTTATAGAAAGAGAAAATAACCATTTAATGAGGAAAAAGATGAAAAAATAATTATGCATGCTTTGGGATAAATTTAATTAAAAAATCCTAATTTCAACCAATTTCCTTATCATGTGTAAATTAGTAAGTGGTGTTTGCTATTTTGAGACTGAAAGAAGCAACATTTAAATGTATTAAAACATGTAAAGCAATAACAAAATCAAGATAAAATTGTTCATAAATTAATGAAATATGTGAAGAAACGTTTAATTATAAAATAAATATGGTTGAACCCTAACTTCCTAAGAATAACTATACTGTTCGTAGTCCTAAACTCCCAATATATAGTATTTTGATGATGATATTTTATATCGCGTTGTAGACATTCCTAAAGTGGGAAACTTGTTGCATTCCCCCACGGTGACCAAAAATGTAAAGAATATTTATTGGTTCTTATCGAAACATAACCTACACTTTCTTGTCAAAAAAAAATTACATCAGCCATTTGTCATTACATCAATAACTTGTCATTAAAAATAGGGAAAATCAAATTAAAAAAAGTTAATTCAAAATTACTTTCATGCGCATACAACTTGTTGTTTAAAAGTACTATTGAGATGTGTCTGATTTAACTGGTTGAAGAAGTATAATCTGCTTATCATGAAATTTCAAATTCAAGTTTTAATTAATATATGCAATCACATTAAATAAAAATAACAGCATTTCCGCGTGAAGCAGCCATTGATTTGTCGTGACCTCAAAAACAATAATTTATGGTGATAAGCACCAAGCAGTCAGGTGAAATATACGTGTGTACTGTGTGTTTCTTACAATTTTATTATATTTTTTTTAAGAAAAATGTAATTGTTGATCCTTCCATTTTTCCCGTGTTTTGTTATAGATTCTTACTCTTTTTTCAATATTCTAGGTTCATACATTTTTTTTTCGATATTTTAGGTCCCTTCATGAATAAAATATAAAAATTTAGAACACATAAAAAAAAAGTACAAGGATCTATAACAAAACACGATAAAAGTGCATGAATCTAAAGCTACGTTTTTCTTAGTTTTTTTTTTTAAATTGAAGATAATTCTATCTGTTTTTTTTTTTTTGCCACACAAGATATATAATTCTCTAAAGGACTGCTTGGTTGCTTTAAAGGGAAAACGTTCCTTTCTCTTCTTTTCTTCCCCTTGTAAAAACATTCCTGATTCCTTCAAAGGAAAGATCGATGATTGAGATGTGTTATTTTTTTTATTATTACATATAAATATTCTTATATTATAAATAATTATATTCCAGATGCAATTAAGTAGTAAATGTGAATATTCGTAATAAGATGTGCTACAACAAAAAGAAGGACAATGCCACTCAAAAGTGCTTCTACTGATTCGTCACCAAATTAACAATTTTATTTTATAAAAATTTTTTTTGGTTATATTTTTTTGGTTATTCTCTATAATTTTTCCACAGACAATTGTTTTTGGTCAACTTGTAGTTTTTAGGCGATTTATAATTTTTAAGCTGGCCAAAATAAAATAATTACAATTTTTTAGAATCTTCATTCTAATTTTTGTTAAATTTAAGTTTTTAAGCATAACTTTTTCTAATAAAAATGCTACCATGTCGATATTATGACTTTGAAACGGTTCTTTTAATTTAAAGTTCTTGACTTTTCTTATTTTTTAATTTATGAAAATTTCTTACTCTTCGCTAATGTTAATTTTCAAAAGAACTTTGACGTGATCAGATTCAGAGAATTCAAATCATCATAAGTTTTAAAAACTCTGATAAATGGAAAGATAAACATCAACGCTTTTAAAATAAGTAAGACTTTAGTACAAGTAGGACAAATACGTTGAAGTCTAATATTATAAATGCAATAAGACAACTATAAACTAATTTGCACCCATCTAGTTTTATTTATAAAGTAGAGAAAGATTACAAAAGTTGGTCCTATTTATCATTGTATGTGGGCCTCATACATATATCACGTCAGTACAAAATGACAAATTTAACAGCCTTCTAATAGAAAGGCATCTTTGGACTTTGAAAAAAAATACTTCAAGGAAAAAATTACCTCATTTAAGAGTATAAGTTACCCAATGCTATTAAAAAATAAGTATTGGGATAAAATTGGATCCTAATCTTTTTTTTTTTTTTTGTGGGGGTAGGGGAATTCCTAAATCTCATGTGTAATCTAGTCTCATGGATTATTACTATATTGATAAATGATGGAGTACTACACAATAAAACGTCATGCCCCCTGATTAAATTAATTTGAATCCAACCAGTTGATTTGTGATTTAATTTTATGGTATATACTCAAAGTTTATCAAAATGGCATGTGATATGAATTTTTATACCTTATGATTCAATGATGTGTTTTAATCAAACTACTAATAAATTTTGTATTAGTTAATTAGAGATGTTTTTGTATTGATAATTTTAAGGAACGAGTTGTATTATTCATTGTTTAGGTACCTATTTTTTCTCCTTCAAAATTGAACATGGATACATTGATGTTGATTAATTGTATTCTCTATTACAACTATAATGTTTTAATAATCAACTTGCTTTAAAATTTTTAATAAATTAAGCGTCTAAATGATCGATTTAGTATAGTTAGAATTAGAATAAATAACATTGACCTTAAAATAACTAGCCATATCCTCATCATGCTTATTGATTGTCAATGGAATTAACTTAATTTATAAAGTTAGATAATATTTTTAAAAAAATTAATCTTTTAATTTTTTAACTTTTAACTTACTTGTAACTTAGTCCCTTAACTTTTGATTCGCTTATGATTCAATTTCTTAACTTTTGACTTGTATATTGTAACACACCAAAATTTTTTTTTTAAAATAATTTAACTCAACTATAGTTGGGTTACAGCCACCCAACACATTTTTATATCAATAATTTCGATATAAAATATTTTATAATTGGCTTCAACTCACACACTATAACATTTCAGATAAATTTTTTACCTCCCACATGCCATTAGGCTAAATCACATTTGTCCATCCTTATACTCCCAACAAGTAAAATAAGCAATTTAGTCAATTTTCAACACAAGCCAGTTATTTGGCCTTATAATCATGCCATTTTAACCAATCCAAAGTAAACCAAATATTAAAATTACAGTCATCCAAATTGTACCAAAAATAGAAATAGTTTGAAAGGCATGATTACATTTATATATTCATATAATTGATAATAAACCAAAAAGCCCTAATATTGGCAATATAACACATTATAAATCATAAATTAAATACCCAAAAGAGACAGTGGATCTATACCACTAAGCCTCTGGGACTCCTCCACGTGTCACTCGTGGCTCTTCTCCTGAAAATTGTTAACCACATAATGAGACTCAAAAGTCCCAGTAACCAAAGCCAATTTATGATAGTGTATACAAACAGTTAAGTGTGTGCTTACTAAGTGAGAATTAAAAATAATATAATTCCAACAAATATAAGAAATATTACAATATACACAAACAACCATCCTTATATCCCTCCATTAACCTCGAGCCGTAGCCCTCACTCGGTGCTAAATTACCCGGCCAAATGTAGATTAGCCCGAGCCCTTACAAGCCACCTATTGAGCTCCAATAGGGGCGTACCACGTGGCACATAAATACAACAATAATAGCAAGTCTCCCAACACCTCCCACAATAATCAAACAAATTCATAATAATATTGCACAATTATACAATATTACAAAATTCATAATTTTCTCAATAATCACCCAATTAACATGAAGTAACACTAATTATAAATTAAAAGCATGGTTACCTTGTGGTTTTTCAATAAATTATTCCTTAAAATTTCTCTCTCACCACAATCTTCACCAGTAATACAATCTACAAATAACATATTATTTATAAATATTAGTTTTAATTTTTGAAACTAATAAAATAATTCTAATAATAGAATTAAAAATATAACATAATTCCTAATCTCAATCTTAATACAAATCTATAGTTAATACTATTAAGTAAAATTTTTAACTCCTCTTTTAATTATCAATAAACATTAATAATCTAAAAATCAAATTTTAAACTAATTTCTATTATCAAAATTTTCTTTTTATTTTATAAATTCGTACCTAAAATATTCAAAAATTAAAAATTAAGTCTCTAGCTTAGAATTATAATCCTATAACCATAATAATTCATTTCTCATCCCAAATAATCATCTAAACCTCAATAAATCAATATATATTTTCAGATCTAGTTTAGAATTTGATCCATAAGCCACAGATTCAAAGATCATCAATAAATTTTATACTCTAGAATATTTATTATACTACTGACAACCTCAAAAATCATATTTATTCAACATAAATTCATCCCTCTTCCAGATCTTAAAT